GGTGGTTCGCATCCACAGGGACGGTGACCCTACTGGGTGACTGCACAGGATACGTGTACCCCATGTTAGGAGCTCAGTGCTTTCTGATGCATGCTGTCCCATACAATGCATACTGTCCTACAAAGTACATATTCAGCATTTCTTCACAAGGATGAAAATTTCCATCTCAAGGAAATTAATTAGCATGACCAAGGTTGCACAAATAACAGAAAATTTAGAACCATTTGAAAATAGTTCTGGTATTCACTTTGAACCAGAAGCCAGGGGAGTGTAGTTGTTTCAGCAACACGTAGAGCTTCATAGCTTGGACAAACCATTTTACCTCTCAGGGACCCAGTTTCCACACCTGTAAAATGAGAACTAGTCTAAGGTTCCTCAGATGGCATGCTCTTGGTGCACAGGTGCCTGCGGAGAACTGCTCAACAAGCCTCAGGCATTCGGAAGGGGCCTCTGGGTCTCTCACCAACGAGGCGCAAGTGGAAGCTGGTGCAGAAGGGCTACCACAGCCCAGTAGTGCCCAAGGCAGATGGCCAGCTGCATCTACCCTAGCCAGGACAACCGAGTGCCAAGGGTCACCTGAAACTGAGCCAGTATGCAGGAGGTCTGGGGACAGATCTGCCCTCTTTCCTACTCTCTCGCAGAGTTGGACTCTGTTCCTGGAAGAAATTACTAATTAAATTATTTTTCTCTTTGGGTCACAAGACATTCAGAGCATTAAAAAACCCTGTGATGGGGCTGGTGAGATGGCTCAGTGGTCTAAAGCACCTACTTAGAACAAGCTTAGCAAAGCACAGGGACCATGGGCTGGTGAGATGGCTCAGTGGTCTAAAGCACCTGCTTAGCAAAGCATCAGGGACCACGGTTCAATCCCCCAGCACCACATGCCAGCCAGCCCCGCCCCCTGGTGGGCTGAGCTCGCCACACACATACACACACAAATAAAATTAAAAAAATAAATAAATAAATAAAATAAAATAAAAAACCCTGTGAGGGGCCAGGGAGATGGCTCAGTGGAATAAGCGCTTCCCAGAGAAGCTCAAGGACCTGAGTTCGATCCCTGGTTCCGCAAAAACAAACAAACAAAAAAACCCAAAAACCTGTGTTCTGGGTCTGGGGGAAGAAGACCATGAAGGGGAAGTGGGAAGCAGGAAGCGGGAAGTGGGGAGCTGGGCTCAGACTCCAGGCAACTGGGAAGTTCCCATCACCTACTCCCACCTCTTCCTACAGCCCCTGCACAGTGAAACCTGAGCGGCCTCCCTCCTGGTGAACTTGACCCTTGCCAGTTGCCAGGCCAGACTGGGCAGCTTTCCCCACCCATTGCAGCCATGTGCAGCCAGTCCTGGTCCTCTCCCTTCGCCAGTCTCTCTCAGGACCTAACGTACACAGGGAAGGCACCAATGGCTGTGCATGTGGGATGGCCAGACTGGGCGCTGGGCCTGGCTCTGCATGCCCCCCCAGGGCTGTAGCAGTGATGGTCTGGGAGCCCACCAACCCTGCCACCCTCAGAGGTGTGACGCTCATCTCTAATCAGAGGATCGTGGGTCCCAGTCAGTGCTTTGAAAGTGTCAGTTTAAAAAAAAAAAAAAAAAAAATTATCGCTTCCTGGTGAGCAGGACTAGAGTCTACCCCACAAAGACTCCATTTAGGAGCCTGGGCTGGCTCACCCTTGGAAGAAGCAACCTCAGTATGTGACCAGGTCTTGCTTAAAGGAATACCTAAGAGCACTTCAAGCCACCCACTTGCCCTTACTGAGTCCTAATTATATGCAGCCTATAAAGATGCTGGTGATATAGAAATAACTGGCCACAGCTCCCGTTAGCAGAGGAGAAAAAAAATGCAATCAGTGTGCCAGGAGGTGGTGGAGGTGTTTAGATCCACATCCACAGAGTTGGGACTTAGGGTAGGGACATGCTCAGGGCTTTGTTGCAAAACCCTGAGAGACATCTGGGTAAGCAGTAAGCACAAAGGGCTGAGTCTATAAAACCAGCTCCCTGGAAGCTGGGATTTTCAAATTTGCCTACCCCTCCTAGCAGCCCCTCACTGGTCAGGTGTTCCAGAAGGATATGGGATCCAAAGTCATAGGTCTGGGTTCTTATTTCAGATCTGGCCTGGCTCGTGTGTCCGAGATGAATCCTTGTGCATTCCTGAACTCAAGATGGGGGTTCACCCACTGGGCCAATTTTTGCTTTCTAAGGAACCTCCTGCCCTGGTTACTTCCCTGGTCCCACATGGCCCCTCCCTTGCACCTGAGGCCAGCTGAGGTCTGCACCTCTTCTAGGACTTTGTGGAACCCAAACCATCAAGTATGTCCCTTCCTCCCCCTCCCCCCTGCCCAAATCTCTTCTGCATGAGGCAGGAACTGTCAGTGCAGGATATTGCACATGGCCCTCCGGGCGGTGATTTGTTGTCTTTCCTGACCACCTTCTCCTCAACTAGCCTTTTGGCTCCTGGAAAGGAGAACACACAGGCCCTGCCCAGACTTCAAGGGGGTTGGGTGCTCAACAGCAGGCCTACGGGAAGTCCACTGAGTACAAGACACAGACAGGGCCATGTCAAGATATCTGGGTACTTGGCACTCTCCAGCAACGGAAGCCAGAGTGTAAGTCTACATTGCCACATCCCTAGGGATGGCGCAGGTGCTCCTAGCTTGGACACTATTTGCCAGCTCAAAGTACACTTGTGATTAGAGAATTTGGGGGGCAGAGGGCTGACAGTATACACACTGGGGAGAGAGAAGCTGCTGCTGTGGGAAGCTGCTCCCAAGGGCATGCCATTTGGCTGGGCAATCCGTTTGGCCTGGATCTGGAAATGTCCTTTAACCCCCTCTGATTAGCTTGTTCCAGCACCCCCCTACCCCCCACCCCCACCCAGAGGGTGACATCCAGAATTAACAAGGAAGGGAAGGGGAGCAGACCATTAAGTACCTCATCTGTTTAGGTGCTTTACTAACTATACACATCCTATTTGATCCACAACATAACCTTGCCAGGTGACTGATATGTCCATTTTCCAGACAAAAAACCAAAGCCAGATGTTCCACAGTCACTCAGAGTTGGAGGCAAACTGTGGACCTCTTCCTTGCGGGGAGGAAACACAGACCACATATTAGAAAAAGGGATTAAATAGGAAGTTCTGGCCAGGAATCAGGACCATCCCGTGATGGCTCTGTCACCAGTCCCTGCCCCCAAGCAGGGACACTTAATACACTGGACAAAGCTCAACACTCTAGCTCTGTTGCTGGGAGTCAAGTCGCATCAGCGTTTGAGACACTGGGCCTGGCACCAACTGATCCCGTCTTCACCCTTGCTGTCCAGCAGCTGGGCTACAGACTGGCCAAAGAAAGGGAAGCTGGGTTTTTCCTCTGGACCCCAAGAGCAGGTCAAAAGATCCCACAGGCTGGAGAGAGGACAGAGAAGAGTCCTCACTTCAGAGCACCCTCTCAAGACAGTTTTCCTAAAAATAACTCCAAGTTACCATGCCACATAGAAGATTCTTAATCTTGCAGGTATAGATTTGCCTCCACCTCTCCACACACTCCTCCAACCTGCAGCATTCACTCCTGAGAGGTGAGCAAGGCAGCAGGTTTCAGACTCATTATGAATAAAGCAAGTCAGGTAGCTGGGACAGGGGAGAGTCAGAGGTCTAGTCCTGCAACGTTTTTCCCAGGGGACCACAGTTTCACTGTGGATGTCACTCATAGCTTACATGTGGTTATATGTGGTGTAATCCTTTGCAAAGGAACTGGTTTCTAAGTTAAACCACAATGATTGCCTCCCTTGTCACCAAATAACAGCAGCTGACATTTATCAAGCTCGTTTTACAAGCAGCTGCTCAGAGGTTTACCTACATCAGCTTATTTAATCCTTGAGATTCTATGAGGTAGGTACTATTTTCCTCTTTTTCAGAGAAAGAAGTTGAAATACAGAGAGGCTGTACAACTTCCACAAGAGGAAACAGGGATTTGAGAAGTCTAAGCAGACTTTTTTTTTTTTAACAACAGGACCCCAGAATAGTCTTAGGCTGGGTACCCCTGTGCATTCAATCACAGCTGAGAGATATAATGCAGTTGACACTGCCAGGCATGGTGGTGCACGCCTGAAACCCCAGCACTCAGCATATAGAGAGGCCAAGGTCAATCTGGGCTACGCAGCAAGTTCAAGGGCAACCCTAACACTCTAAGAACAAAAACAAACAAAATACAAAATACAGGGGCTGGTGAGATGGCTCAGTGATCTAAAGCACCCACTTAGAACAAGCTTAGCAAAGCACAGGGACCGTGGTTCAATCCCCCAGCACCACATGCCAGCCAGCCCCACCCCCTGGTGGGCTGAGCTGGCCACACACACACACACACACATAAATAAATAAAAATTTTTTTAAAAATACAAAATACAGTTAATACTAGCTAGCATTTATTGATCATGTCCTACATTTCAGGCCTACAGTGAAGTGTTGTATATGCATTAGTTTATACAGCTATGATTTGTACTTTACTGTATATAGTTACATGTTTACAAATATTATTTATATGTGTTACAGTTTATTTAATAAATATGAGAGCTACATAGTAGATACAATCATTATTATTACTATCATCTCCTTTATGCAGAGATAAGGTACAGAGCCTTGGAGGAGGTTAAGCAACTTGCCAAGCTAGTGGAACAGCCAATATATAAACCCATCTTTCCGACAGCCGGACACATTATCCCTAATGTGTTGCCAGGTCCTAATGGTCTAGATAATAGTGCTTAAAGTTAACCTCCCTCCCAGAGTCCTCTGACCAACCCTCCCTGCCTTTCTGTCCAGACCTTGCGCAGGCGGAGAGTTCCCTCAGGACCTGTGCACCATCCCTCCACCACCCAGAGGCTGAACAGGGGCAGGGTGGACCACACAGGCTCACTGACCAGCTCTTCCTCCCACAGGGCTAGTCCAGGAGCCAGGAAGGGCAGGGGAATTCACTCCATGAGTGCATAGGAAATCTGCCCCTTGCACACACTCACTCACTCCACGCCTGTAGCGCCACAGCTGTACATTCATCCACAGCTGTATTTTTATCTTCAGACTCATCCGGCTGACTCAAGCTCCATTTTCTAGGCACTTTCAGAACAACAGAGTCCTGGCTCCAGGACTGGCACAGGGGAGGAGATAAGAGAGGAATGAGGATGAACTGATCCTGCAGAAGGACCTACGACCTCAAACTGTATCCTATTTACACCCTTGGACAGTGGCGGCAAACTTATGGCACGCGGGCTGTTTGCACCATTCACAGCTCTAAAAGGTTCACCATCACTGTTCTAGGACGCGGTGTTCCGTGGCTTTCCTCAGTCATCCCACCCAGCCCCTTTCACCCACATATGCCAGCCTGTCCCCCACAACAAGGCTACCCAAATTCTGGAAGGTCTGCTATGGGCTTTAGGGAAGGGGACCAGAAGCCCCAGGGCTCCCCTGCAACCCTGACCAAAGCCCACAGGAACCCTGAAAGGGTCACTCTGGACCTTGGATACGGGCAGTGCCCAGCCACACACTCAGGGCAGCAAGGCAGCAGCTGGGCTCCACTGAGGTGGGGTCCGGGTAACAGCACAAGGACAAGTCCTCCCTAGGTGTCCACCATGCCAAACTCCCCCCCCCCCCAAACTCTGACCCCGGGGCAGGAGGAAGCATCAGGGAAGGCCAGGGAAAAAGGCTGAACTGGTCTCCAAAGTATGTCAGGCAGAAAGGGGCCGATTTGGAGGTCAAGGGTAAGAGCAGATCCGGGGTTCCATCGTCTGAGGCAATTGGCGGCCAGGAAGGTCTTGCCTGCCCCGCTGTCTGGGGGCTTCTCCAGTGAGCTGCGGATGCCTTATCTTTAGCTGAGAGGCTGTGAGGGATGCTCAGATCACCACCTCACACCTGTCAGAGAACCTGAGCTTGGGGAGGCGAGGTCTCTGCAGCGCGCTCCCCTGTTCCATTCGCAGAGTCAAGAGGGCTGAGAAGGGGGCACAGGAACACACATTCCCCAGCTCTCACTCTGCCGAAGTCTCGCCCTGCGACTGATGTCCAAAAGAGTTCGGTTTCCCTTCCTTCCCTTGATTGCTTCCTCGCTCTTCCCCATGAAAGCTGGCGGAGCTCGAGCACCCCGCGGCGTCCCGTCCATGGGCCCCTTGCCCGGCTCCCCAAAGACCCGACCGTACGCGCCGCGGTGACTCATCCTGCCCCTTTCCGGCGAAGCCCAGACAAGGGAAGAAAATAAATGCAACTTTCCAAAGAAAACTCTGACGCGGAAGGCTGCACCAGGAGCGGGCGGCCGGTCTGCCCACTGCCGGACCGGCTCGGGACTCCGGGGAGGGGCCGCTCCCCGCCCACCCGCCGCCTGGCCCGGGACTCCTGAGTCCCTGGGCGCCCCAGCCCAGCGCGGCCCGCGGTCCACGGAGAAAAGCGCAGCCCGGCGGGGACCTGAGCAGGCGCCCCGCACTCAGCACCCGCCCGCGGTGGAGCGGGAACCGCGCCTCAGGGCGCCCTCAGCCTCTCGCATTGCTCCGGGACCCTCGCGAGGCTCGGTGAGGACAGCCCGGGACCCCACGACGCGGGCCCGTCCCACTGGGCGCCCAGCATGCGCCCCCGCCGATCCCAGCCGCGCGCCCCTCCCGCCCTGCGCCGAGACCGGTCCCCGCGAGGGCAGGGGTCTCGCGCTTACCTGTCCGAAGCGTGCGGCTGTCACCCTGGCTAGCGCGTGCGAGCTCGTACCCCTCGCGTCCCCCCCACGCGCGCCAGCCGGTGCCTTTTAAATCTCCAGGTTACTCGGAGGGGGGGAGAGAGCATGCGCGCTGGGGCTGCCAGGAGGGGGGCGGGGCGAGGCGGGACAGAGGTGGGGGTGCTGCGAGGGTGGCGGAGGGGTGGGGCTGGTACCCGAGGGAAGAAAGCGGGAGGTTGCAAAGCTGTCTTTGTAGCTGCGGCCGCAACGCGCAGCCCCCGCGTGGCTCCTGGGCTGCCCTATCATTACCTAGGGCTGTGCACCGCCCCCTCTGCCACTGCCACCAAAACATTTAGGTAAAAGCTATCTGGTTCCATGGGACACCTCCCCTCCCCTCCCCGAGCCTATTTGCCTGTCTGTGACTCTGTCCGCTCCAGCGAGCCGGCCACTCTGGCCAGTGCTCTCTCCAGGCACAGCTGCGCACACACACACACACACACACACCCATGCAGGGCCGTCCCTTGAAGGGAAGGGACGGTCATATTTCTCCCTTTTACTCTCCCTGCTAATGGCTTTTCTTCGACACAGCGCTAACCCAGGCCCTCCTTCTGCACTTTGAAGCCAAACTCCAATTTTTTCTCCTTGAGGATGTATATGAGGAAGAACCGGGATGAACTGCCCAAGAGAAGTCCCTACCTCAGCCTTTGACCCAGGTCCAACAGTTACCTACACAGAGCAGGCCTGTAACTGCAGGAGGAGGAGGTGGTTGGAGTAGCCAAGTGGGCACACTTTGTGTCTTTCTCCCATGGATTTGTATTAGGGTGGAGAGAAACCCAATTGAAGCAGATTGCTGACTTGAATACTGTGGTGCTTCCATGTCTGCGGGTGTAATGTCTGGCGTGTACAAGCAACCACAACAGCATTGGAGGGATGTTATGCTGATGCTGATGCATAAGTAGAGTGTATTTAGGAGGCCTAGGGTGGTTTTGCTCGCCTCTGTACAAACATGCACAGACTTTTTGTCTTATTCCCTAAACAATACAGTATAACAACTGTTTACATAGCATTTACATCATATTAGGTATTATAAGTAATCTAGGATGATTTAAAGTCTGCAGGTGTAGCTTGATAAGCCAACACTATACCATTTTAAATAAGGGACTTGGGCATGGGTGGATTTGGGTATGGGGGGCCGAGTCCTGGCTCCAGTCTGCACTGCAGAATCCCAGGAAGGTGCTTCAAAGAGGACATAGCTATCCCTAGGTCTGTACTGAGCAGCAGGGCCCTGGGTTCCAGTGCTGGCCTTGTGTTGTCCGCTATGTGCTGCAGGCCAAGTCCCTTCCACTTCTGGGCCTCAGTGAGAACAGTTGCCACCTGATCCCTACAAGCAGGGCCAGCAGAAAGAGAATAGGGAAGGGAAAGAGGAGACAGAGGTCCTGATGGTGTGGGAAAGAGAGAGGGAGTGCAGGAGAGCGCAGAGAAGAGAAAAGTAAAAAAATCTACCTTCTGAGTTGCTAAACAAGTTAAACTTGAAAACTCTCAGGATGGCCTGCCTGGGAGCACAAACCTCCATCTGAGAACCTGAGGCCCAGTCTTTGGGCAGCAGAAACACCAGGTGGGGTCCTGGGTTCCCGAGTCTGTATCCCTTCTGCCTCAAGAAAAAGGGCAGGAGTCAGGGGGAATTCCAGGTCAGCTGGAAAATTACAGAGCCCAGAGAGTGGATGTTGGTATTTTCCAGGCTTGGAAAGGAACACTGGGCGCTGGAGACAGTTGTCCCACCTCAGAGGACTGGGCATCCTTCTTTCCCTCCCCTGCACCCCACTTCTTGCCAGGGGTCTATATGCCTGGTGACCCAGAAGAGGAAGCAGGCTCCATAGAGCATGTCATGAGATCCTGGACCCCACCCAATCGCTTGCCACTTGAGTAACAGCTCTGTCACCCTCCCCAGTAAAGATGACACTTCCTTACCAAGCTAGGTGGATGCATGGCCCCACCCAGCACTTGGTACTGTGGATCCTCTGTTCTGGAAACCCCTCCCTTCTCCTGATGTAGTCCCTAATAATAATAATATAATAATAATAATTGTTAATCATTACTGTTGTGTCCTGCACTGTTTATAAATACTTCTCATGTATTACTATGGCTCACTCAAAAATTAGAACAAGCCAGGGAGATGGCTCAGTGGAATAAGTGCTTCCCTGGCAAGCTCAGGGCCTAAGTTCAATCCCCGGTTCTGCCAAAAAAACAAAACAAAAACAAAAACAAAAAAAAAATTAGGACAAAAAAAAAATTAGGACAACCCAAGATGGGTGCCATTTTTAAATTTAAAAAAGCAGAAGCAATCACCCCAAATCCCAACAACACAAACACGCCAGAAACAAGGCAGAGAGAGCCATCCCTCATCCAGCCTGGCCAGTGATTTCAGAGTCTCAGAGAAAGGTATGACACCCCAAGATGCCCTGTCCTTCTGGACAAATAA